CCCATTGCAGAGCACAGGCTCTGGACGCGCAGGCTCAGTGGCCATGGCTCACGGGCCCAGCCTCTCCGTGGCATGTGGGATCTTCCCGGACCGGGGCACGAACCCATGTCCCCTGCATCGGCAGGCGGACTCTCAACCACTGCGCCACCAGGGAAGCCCTCCCCACTTTTTATTTTGGAAAATGTTTATTTCTTTATGTTATTTAGTGGTCACCCTGAAGAGTCATCAGCAGCTGTGGTTGCTTGGTACCTTTACCATCTCCTCTGAGAGCACAGAGAACTTGAAACCCTGACTTCAGTGACCCCCCCCCCACCCCAGACTTCTGTCACTGTTGTCATGCGTTTTAATTTACATATATTTCAACCTCAACAAGAAATTTTTGCTTTATATCATTACATAATTCATATAATGAATGCTGCATAGTGACCATACTCATTACTCTTCTGTTTTTCCTTTATCTCTGAGCTTCCATCAGGGATGCATTTTAATATATACATATATATGTATATATTTTTTTAATATATACATATATATACATATTTATTTTGGCTGCACCAGGTCTTAGTTGCGGCACGTGGGATCTTTAGTTGCGGCATGCATACGGGATCTAGTTCCCCGACCAGGGATCAAACCTGGGCCCCCTGCATTGAGAGTGCAGAGTCTTACCCACTAGACCATCAGGGAAGTCCCAGGGATGCATTTCCTTGTGCTTGAAGAATGTCTTTCTGTATTTAGTTTGGGTCTGCTGGTAACAAAATGTTTAAGTTTCTTTGGAAATGTCTGCTTCATCTTGAAACACCTCCTTCTGATGTGTTGAAGGAGGCAGTCCAGGCGGGACCGGTCCCAGAAGTCCTGTGGACACCAAACTCTGCAGACATTCTAATCCCTTACGTGAAGTGGCCTAGTGCAGTCGGCCCTCTCTATCTGGTGTTTCTTGGCTGTGTCGGTCCTGTGGGGATGTCCCCTGCTGCTGCTCGTGTAAAACAGCGTCTTCTCTGCAGGCTGTGCTTAGTCCGTTTTGTTTCTGTGGTTTCACGCTGATGAGTCCATGTGTGATTCAGCCTTACTCCTTCCGTCTGGCACTTCTGTGACTCTTGGCCTTACCCCTCTGTTGGCGCTTTGGCCCCATTCTTTCCTCTTCCTCTACGGCTCCAGTTATATGTGATTATCTGGCAGGATTATTTTCTCCTGTTCTGCTGTCCCTTCAGACTTTGAATGCTTCTAGATCAGCGATGTCCAATAGAAATATAATTCAAGTAAACATATGTCATTTAACCCAACATATCATATCACTTCAACATGTAATCAACATTAAAAATATTAACGAGGTTTTTTTGCGTTTTTTTTGTACTAAGTATTCAAATCCAGTGTGAATTTTACACCGTAAGACAATCTCATTTCAGACCAGCCACTCTGGTGCTTGGTGGGCTGGTGGCCTCAGCATTGGATAGTGTGGGTCTGTGGTGTGTCAGACTCTGTCCTGTGTGAAGGACAGAGAGGTGTGAGTTGCATTTCTAATTTGAAGATACTGTAGACACTGCACCAAAATCAGTGAGGCTGCTGTACTTGAGTTTTTGCTAGACAAAAGTAAAATGTCCTTCCCAGTTATTGGTATGGGACTGGCTCGAAACAAATTAAATGTAGTAGTGTAAAAGATAGCCAAATTGTTTTTTTTTTATCAGCACACATGACCTAAGTAATGAAATATACCAAACGCGCCTTCTGAACGTGGCTTTCTGGTGCTGTCCCTTGTGCTTCAGCCTGCAGAGGGGCCAGTGTGAGGGGCCCTGATGTGTTCGTAGCCGGGTCTGACCCTTTTATGCTAGGGTGATTGTCTCAAATGCCTTTCTTTGTGCAGCCGAGTGCTCATTTCTACAGACGTCTGGGCCCGGGGGCTGGACGTGCCCCAGGTGTCCCTCATCATTAATTACGACCTGCCCAACAACAGAGAGCTGTACATACACAGGTAGGCAGCACAAGTTTTTCTTTGGTTTCAGTCTTGTTGATGGATTTACTGAAACCTTTTTTGCTATGTTTACTGAAGTGATTTTGCTTTATTGTTGAAGAATTGGGCGATCAGGTCGATATGGCCGAAAGGGTGTGGCCATTAATTTTGTGAAGAATGATGATATCCGAATCCTCAGAGACATTGAGCAGTACTACTCCACTCAGATTGACGAGATGCCCATGAACGGTAAGACAATAAATCCATATTTGTGATTGTTTTAGAGAGAGCTTCCTGGTTCTTGGTTTGGGGCACTTGAGGTTTTTCCCGCTTTTTTTTTTCTTTTGTTTTTGAGAAGTCTTTTGTGAGCCTTTAGTTAAATTTACAAATTTTCACTTTGTTTGTATTCTTCCTTCTTGTTTATCTTCTCTTTCAGTTGCTGATCTGATTTGAACAATCTGCTTGCTGGAGCCTGTTCACCTATTTTGTATCAATTTGGAAATATTTAGGGGCAGTTTCTGTTTAATGGGGTTTATGTGAATTCTCTTCTCAAAGCCCCCACAGGACAAACTTTGGAGATTCTGCCACCTTTTCTTACCCACATGTAAATAATGCATTGCTTTAAGTCTTTTTCATTAAACATTTAAAACTTTTCCCATAAACTCTAATTTGTATTTCTTTCTAATTTTTGTTTGCCCTCAGCTTTTCTAGTAACCTGCTGTCTGTATGACCTTGGGCAGTCATTTCACTCTTTTTTGATCTTTAAGATGGTGAAATGGAAGTGGTAAGCTGCCTGGCCTCTCCACACTTACCCAGATTGGTACCCAATCCAATTTCTTATGGATGGCAGGTGGGGGAGTTGAGACCATAAATACTTTTCTCTGGGTTGGCCTGGGTCTGTGTGCCCAGATGCAGAGGGGCAGGATGGCACCCTGGGCAGATAACCGGGAGGAAGGATTCACCAGCCAGGCTTCCTCTGGACTAATGAGCCCACCGGTCACAGCTGAGGAGGGGTTGTGCACAGGGCACCGTAGGTGATTCAGGGAGGGGCAAGCAGGAAACAAGCCAGAAGGTAAGACACCTGAGAAACTTAACCTAATTGAGATGCTGTCAAGTAAGGTAACAAAGAAATGGCAAACATCCACGGAAATGTGTATCCTTGGGGGTGATTCAGAAGTGTTATGTTTTCATAACCATTAACCCTGAGTGTTGGTGAAGGTGTGGGGGGCGTGATGGTGGCGTTAGTAGGTACAGACTTTTTGGAAAGCAGCCTGGCTTTTGGGCAGTAGGAGCAATTAGAATACTTCCCTTTGAGGGCGTCCTTCTGCGTAGGCAGTAGTCTGGAGTGCAGACTGCACAGGTGAGCTCACCAGTGTCCTCCAGCACCAGGAAAGGAGTGCGCATCACTGGGGGCTCGGGGAGGGAAGCAATGGGACATCGGCACTGACGCACGTGGGTGGAGGTTCTTGGGCAGGTGCTTGGGGCCACTCGCGTCACAGGTCAGGTGGGTTCAGCTGTAACCCATGGTGGCTAAGTGTTGAAAGAAGGGGCTGGTGTGTCAGGTTAGACAGAAATGTTCACAGCATTATTCATAATAGCTGAAAAGTGGAAATAACCCAAGTGCCCATCGACTGAAAGATATGGTAAGTACACATGAACATTATTTGGCAATAGGAAAGAATGAAGTGCTGACACGTTGCAATATGGATGAACCTTGAAAATAGGCTAACTGGAAGAAGCCAGTCACAAAAGGCCACAGTGTTTCCGTTTCTGTGAAATGTCCCAAATGGGTAAATCCATAGGACAGAAAGCAGATTAGTGGTTTTCTGGGGGCTGAGAGGTGGAAATAGGGAGTGACTGCTAAAGGGGACAGGGCTTCTTTGGGGGTAATGAAAATGTGGAACTAGACAGAGGTAAGTGTTGCACAATTCTGTGAATGTACTAAAAAGTACTGAATTGTACATTTTAAAGTGGTAAAATTGTGTGGTATGTGATCTATACCTCAGAAATCGGGCAATCTTATACTTCCTCCTCTAAAAGTATACTTAAAGACAGAAAGGGCATGAGCAAGGGGGGAAAATATTTGCAAAGCATATACTTGGCAAAGGACTTAAACTAGAAAATGTCAAGAACTTTAAGTGTAGGTAGAATGGTGGTCCCCCCAAAATGCCCACATCTTAATCCCTGGAACCTGTGAATATGCTACATTAAATGGTAAGGACTTTGCAGGTGTAATTAAAGATTGAGATGAAAGTATCCTGGATTATCCAGGTGGACCCTATCTAATCACATGCGCCCTTTAAAGTCAAGAATGCTCTGGGCTACCATGGGTCAGAGAGTGGTATAATGGAAGAGGCAGGATTGATTCTCTGGGGTGAGGACTCAACCCACCATCGCTGGATTTGAAGATGAAGGTGCCACGAGCCAGGATATGGAGCAGCCTCTAGAAGCTGAGGAGGACGTCTGGCTCAACCACAGGGACGTGTGGACCTCACACCCATACACTCAGGAGACTGAATTCTGCCGACAACTTGCATGAGCAGGGGAGCACATTCTCCCCTGGAGCCTCCAGAGAAGAAGCTGCCCTGCTGACACCTAATTTAGCCCAGCTGACTGTGTCAAATTTCTGACCTACAGAACTGTGATAGAATAAATGTGTTATTTTGAGCCACAGAGATTGTGGTAATTTGTTATGGTAGCAGTTGGAAAAACAATGTACTTTGTAACTCAATAATAAGGTCAACAAATCCAAGTAAAAAATGGGCAAGATACCTGAACAGACACTTCACCAGAGAAGATTTATGGGTGACAAGTCCATGAATGAAAGATGCTCGCCATCTTCAGTTGCAAATCAGACCTGCGAGATCCACTGTCACTGGAACAGCTGAAAATGAGCATACGGACCACACCAAGCGACAGCAAGGCTGGTAGGAGTGCAGAGTGGGTCACCCACTTTGGAAAACAGTTCAGTCACGCACACACCCTCCACGTGACCTGACCATATCACACTTGCGGTGTTTGCTCAAGAGAAATGAAAACATGTCCGTTCACAGACTGGTCCATGATTACATCATCTTTATTCACAATAGTCAAAAACTGAAAACAATCCTTACATCCATGTAAATTTAATAAATGTGGCACCTCTATCCAATGGAAAACTATTTGGCAATTAAAAAGCACACAACATGGATAAATCTCAAAGTAATTAGACTAATTAATTAGACCAAAAGAAATACATGCTATATGATTCCATTTATATAAAATTCCAGAAAATGTAAACTAGTCTATAGTGGCCAAAAGCAGACCAGCTGTTGCCTGGGAACGGAGGTGTTGGGGGTAGCAGCTTAGTCTACATAGCCGTTGGGCAGGGTCGGGGGGAGGGTGTATCTCCCACCACATGACTGACACCAGGCCTGGCTGGCTGTTTTCCAGTCATCCTAGGGATGGGTGATACGAGGGTGTGAGGTGGGGACGTGAGGGCGCTGCTTTGAGCATGCACAGTACAGCACACATGCACACCCTGCTCGGGAACGTCCAGGGGCCCATCAAGGAAGGAGTCCTGCTTCTGTGTCAGGGCCTCTAGACACATCCTCCTTAGCCTGAATCTCAGAAGGACCAGCAGAAGCTTGATTGCAAATGCCCCTTTTATTAAAAATAATTGCACTTCAGATTAAGGGATCCCCAAGTCCTGTGAATTCTGCCGAGTGCCTAGGCCCACTTGTCAGACTGGTGGACAGCCTCCACCCGTTGTCGGGGGCAGCTGCCCAGAAAGCAGTCTGCAGCGGCCCCCCCAGCTCTGCTTTCATCAGGTCAGAGCAGCAGCAGAGCTGCCCAAGGCAGGACCTTGGGGTGCAGGTACCACCCCATACCAAGCACCACCTCTGCGTCACAGGCAGGCAGTGGTGACTGACATTGCATGCGTCACAGTGACAGGCTACACCAAAGCAAATCTTCAGTAAACGGCACCCCTCAGGGCACTGACCCGACTGGGATCTGGATAGAAGACTCAGAAGAGCTGCTGGCCCAGAGGCTGGGGGGGCAGACTCACAAGCAGATCCGGGTGTTCAGGGATGTCAGTGACATGCGATTCGGGGTAAGTGCTCTGACCCAAGGCCCACATACCGCCGACGGAGGATGCAGGTGCTGGGCTGCCGGGAGGTCTGTAAAGGAGCAGCACACCACTGGGCCCCAGATTAAGACCAGCTGATGAGGAACTGCTCTCCCATCGTCAGCGAGACGGGGATGTCCAGGGTCTGGGGACAAGAAATAGGAAAATTTGTTTGGCAACAGAGGTGGGGCAGACAGCAGTCTGTGGACATGGGTGGACGGTGGACATGGGGTCTGACCTAGCCCTGGGAGCGTCTCGCTCTGTTCCCTCTGAGCACTCTTGGCAGTGGCCGCCTTAATTTGCTTTGGAAATGAACTGCCCTTTAACCAGGGGCCAACAGTGTGGAGACAGGCAGGGAAAAGATGTGAAGTGCGAGGGGACTGAACCTTCCCACTCCTCCCCACAAGGATCAGTTCCTCTCCGCCCCTTGTAAGGCCTGAGTGTCCTCTCCCTTCTGGACAGGGAATCCCATGATGCCAGCTCAGTGGGCACCTCCCGCCCCCTCGCCCACCCTCAGGGACAGGCCTTCTGGCCTCAAATGTAGGCTCTCTTGCCTCCGTGTCAGGGCCATAGGTGAAGTTGGATACAGAAATGCCATTGCAGACGACTTGCTGGGGGGCTGTGGCCACCCCCAGGACGGTCACCTTCCTCAGCTGCAGGCCAGCCCCCTCACTGCTCACGTGCACCAGCTGGTTCACGATGGTGTTCTGGCCGAAGCAGAGAGACAGGACCAGAGGTGTGAGCAGATGGCCTGGGGCAGGAAGCCCCACCAGGGCAGGGCCTCTGGACAGCAGATGGGGAGGGCAGGTCGGCAGCACACCCCGTGCAAACCCTAGGACACTGGCGCAGTGCAGGGGACTCCAGCCAAGGCAGTTGGCCTACGGGCTCTTCTCCCCTTCAGTCTGCTTGACCCAGGGACAGGTGGCCATCCCAGGACCCCAGGCCAGCTCCCCTCACCAAGTCAGGATAATCACCCCAAGACAGCCTCCAGCCTAGGCGGATCCCAGAACTCACGTTCCTGGCCAGGAAGATGACCTGCGTGTACGCCCCACGGTCCAGCACTCCTAGGCTCTCCCCATCGTCCCAGAACAGCTCCCCTCGGGCCTCCCCACTCGCAGTCAGGGCCACGGCCAGGGCCATGGGCTTCTTGCGGGACTCTGTGGTTGTGAGGCCAGGGCCCTGGGAGGGGGTGGCCCACGTCACTGTCCCAAACCTGGTGGAGGCCTCCAGACCCAGGCGTGAGGAGCACTAGGCTGGGACAGTGCTGTGCTAGAAGAAACCAGGATCCGCAGGACAGCCCACGGCCGAGCGGCCTGGAGGCCCGTGGACACCTCAGAGGACGTGAGGCCCAGAGAGGTTTGCAGACTGACTGACAGACTGTTTTCTGAGAAAGGCCAATGAAGCAGACCTCTCCTTCACCAGGCCCGGGAGCAAGTGAGTGCAAGGATGTATCCTGTCCTTCCCCAGCCCAGTTCATCCTCAACCCTCAGAAGGATCATCTCTGCCTGGGGGCAGACCCCCAACTGAACAGAGGCATGTGGGGTCCCAGCAACCCCAGGGCTGGACAAATAGGATCAGGGGCCCGGCCCAAGTACCTGCATGGGGATGATGTGCCCGGCCCGGAGGTGGAGGTTGATGGTGTCCAGTGGGGCGGACAGTGTCACCCACTGCCCTTCGCTGTGGATGGCAGACGTGAGGGGTGCAGGAGGTGGGAGGCTGCCAAAGGCCTCCACTGGCACCTGGAGGGGGATGTCATGTCACAAAGGGTCCTGGGCATTGCCAAGCTCCTGTGCTGTTGGGAGCTGAGAGCAAAGATCTGGCCACATGGTGGGGACAGAGCATGAGAGGCCTGAGCCAGGACTCGGGTAGGGCAGGTCAGAGGACGCAAGAAGGGGCAGGAGTTTGGGAGCAGAACTGGAGTCCCAGCTCAGCTCGGTGGCAAGTCACCCACTCAGCCTCGGTTTCTCCATCTGGAAAATGGGTCCTGTAAGGCTCGCACAGGATGATGCTGATGGAGCACCCAGGTGAGGGCCCTCATGTAGCCAGGACTCCTTTTTCACTCTCTGGTCCACACGGATGGTGCTGGAGGGAAGACCCGCTCCATCTCCCCCGTCCTCCCAAGTTTCAGGGCCCCAGGACTCACCATCCGCAGGTCGTACCACGTGCTGCGGGGGAAGTAGCCAGTGACCTCAACCTTCCCGGCCTTGAGCACCGGGGTGATGAGCAGAGCCTCCCCCCACAGGAGCTGGCGGTCCACTGTCCAGGTGCGGGGATCCTCGGGGAACCTTCAAATAGGAGGGACGGGCAGGGGGGCCTGGTGACCTCTGAGGTCAGTGGGCTCAAGGGACCCATGGGGAGGCGTGGACAGGAGCCAGAGGACCTGGGTTACATGTGGCAGGGCCGGTTCTGGCCAGCTTAAGTCAAGACAGGAGCCAAGAATAACCTCTCCCTGCTCGACTACTTGGGCATGACCTGTTCACATTCCCTGTTTGCAAGTTCTGTTCTTGCCCACATGTCTATCTGGCTCTTACTCCTGGTCTGAGTTTCTGTACATTAGGGACAGTGACTGTCATTTTATTGATAATGTTTTCTCCCATTCGATTGCCTTGACAATCTATGTTCAGAGCAGTTTTAATATTTTTCTGCTTATGTTCAAAGAAGTGTTACTTTTTTTTCCTAAATGAAACCTCCTTCCCTTTGCTTTTTTGCTTTTGATGCTTAGAAAGCCCTCTCCTGACAGGTCACAGAGAAGCATTCACTTCTGTTTTCCTGCAGCTTTCTACAGCTTAATTTTTGACATTTAACTACGTAATCATTTGGAACTTAGGTTTGTACAGATGAGTGGAAAATAAGTTGATTTTTGCAAATAGCTAACTAATTACCTTACTACTGGAGAATCCTTTAATCCTCTGATTCGAGGTGCCATTTTATGGTACGGTAACTTCTTAGATATACTAAGTCCTACTTGGGGGATATCTATTGGATTTCTTTAGTGGTCTTGTCCCCTTAAGCCCCAGATGGATTCAATCATGATAGCCTTATAACTTGTTTTACCATCTGGGAGGCCTGGTCTGTACTCAGTGTTCATCCTGGGTTTTTCTGTTATCCAGTGCTCCCTGCCCTGAGCTGGAATCTAATGGGTGGGAACTGGGGGTTCAGGGGGACACCTCAGTGGGGAGTGCCCAGATTTTGCTGCAACCTCCTTCCTCTCTCAGTGCCCAGAACACCCCCTGCAGCAGGTTAGCTGCCCTGGGGTCAGTGGGCCGGAGGCCATCACTCCCAACCCAGGCACTCACTCCAAGAAGAGGGGCCGGGCCACGGTCTCGCCTCTGACGTGGGCCCCATGGAACAGCGTGTAGAGATAGGGCAGCAGCATGTAGCGCAGGGCAAAGGCCTTCCTCATGGCTTGCTGTGCCGTCTCGCTGAACCTGTACGGCTCCTGCGGCTGCAGTGGAGGGAGTGGAGGAAGCACCTGGGATCTAGGACCATGGACTCCGAGGTCCCCCCACCCCAGGAGACCCAGCACTTTGGGCCAGCCAGTGCTGGGCTCATTGGCACAGAAAGTGGCATTCCCCAGGGCACGGCATCCCCTGCCGCCCCCGCCCTACCAGGCTGTTCAGGCCATTGTGGTTCCGCATGAAGGGGTAGAAGGCCCCCAGCTGGGTCCAGCGCACACACAGCTCCTCCGAAGTGTTGCCCAGGAAGCCACAGATGTCGGCCCCCACCAGGGGCACCCCCAGCAGATTGAAGAGCAGGATTTCTGGAGGGCAGAGTCAGATGGGCCTCCAGCTGCTACAGTAGGAGCAGTCTAGGGCCAAGGAGCCTGACAGACATGTCTGTTGAACTGGCTGGAGGCAAGGATCCCTCCCAAAGCCCCTCCCACCCAGCCCCCACCTGATGGTCAGTACACCAATGGCCACTGCACCTTGCACTTGTGGTCAGCAGAATGACAAGCCGCATCTGCTCCCTAACTCGCAGGGTGGGCAGGGCAAACTAGACCCGTTAGGGCTGAACTGTATTTCCCTCCGAAGTAAGTTCTAGTCCTAACCCCTGGTTGCCATATTTGGAAAAAGGGTCCTTGAAGATGTAATCAGGTTGAGAAGAGGACATTAGGGTGGACCCTAATTCACCATGACTGGTGACCTTATCAGAAGAGGGAACCAGGTACAGGAAGCACAGAGGGTCCCAAACAAGATGAACCCAAACAGACCTACACCAAGACATAATTAAAATGGCAAAAGTGAAAGAGGATTCTAAAGGCAGCAAGAGAAAAACAAAGTTAATTACAAGGGAACCCCATAAGGCTATCAGCTGCTTTCTCTACAGAAAGGTTGCGGCCAGAAGGGAGAGGCAAGCTACATTCAAAGTCCTGCAAGGGAA